GTTTCTTTGACAGTTTTTTGCCACTTAGCAAACACAGCTCTAAAAGCTTCCTTTTCAAAGTGCTGAAGGGCCGTATTTGCAAAAGTAGCCTTGATTTTTTTCGAATTTTTGCAAAGTGATATTTTTTTTTTAATTTTATTTAGCTTTTGAATAAAAACTCACTTTGTTTTAAACCAATCACCTTAATCTAAATGTGCAGAATGAACACGAGTCAAAATTTACCAATGAAGGTCATGTCCAAGATTCCGTTGGAACTACACATGTGGTGGGAAGATTTGGGTAAGCAAGGACGAGACATGGTCAACCATTACTTGGGGGTACTCACTGGGTTACTAAAGATCAGGCCTATGGGAGACATAATAAAGGCACTGGTAACATTTTGGGACCTAACTCACAACGTTCTGCATTTCTCTGACTTCGAACTCACACTCACTTTGGAGGAGATAGCGGGTTATGCTGGGAGTACTGAGGGTCTAAGACATAAATACCTGGTCGCTCCAAGGGCCGTCACCCCTCACAAGTTTCTGGATTTGCTAAAAATAAGCAGGCAGGTCAAGTATGTTGATTTGGCGGCCGGGTTTTCCACTCTACATGTCATATACCAACGGTACGGACATGTAAGAGGATTTGACAACTCGGAAAGTGGAATCTGTAGCAAAGGGAACCGATCAAAGTGGGAAGAGCATATGTGCTTTGCTTTCATGGTGGCATTCTTGGGTCTTCTAGTGTTCCCCCGGAAAGATGAGAATATTGATCTACGGGTAGCTAGAGTCGTCAATGTTTTGAATACCAATGCCAAGAGCACCCTCGCCCCTATGATAGTATCTGAGATATTTCGAGCTCTCACGACTTGCAAAGCCGGAGCAGATTTTTTCGAAGGGTGCAATTTATTACTACAAATGTGGATGATTGAGCATCTGTGTCACCGCCCTCGATATATGAATTATGGATCTACAGGGAAAAACTGCATTGAAGAGTTCGACACAAGGGTCTCAGGTTTCAAACTGCCAGAAGGGGTTGGAGATTGGATATCTCACCTTCATTCCATAACTGCAGGGCAAATAGAGTGGACACTGGGTTGGCTTCCTGTTGAAGAAATTGTGTATATGCCTGCCACCGGTCTTTACTTATTCCTAATGGTCCTTCTAGGCATCCATCCTTATGCCCCATATCGAGTGTTGAGATAGTTGGGAAGAGGCCAGGTAGTGCCCCTAGATGAGGATCTTAGTGTTCATGCAGTTGAAATCCGCTCCGATGGCGAATTTCATGAAAAAACATCATATTTGGAATGAGTGCCAGTATTTGATAGCAAACACCCGAGTGCGTGACTTGTCCAAAGGTGAGGTCTCGCCTGGTTATCTTGCTTGGTATAGAAAGAAGGTCACTGCAAGGGCCAAACCCGAAAGACCGACCAAACAGCCTCACATCCAGGAATTTGTTGAAGTGTCACAAGAACAATGAGCCTGGTTGACCAAAGAAAATGAGTATAGGGCCACCATAAGCAAGTTGGAAAAGCAAGTCAGAAATCTTCAATTTGAGAGTGCTTTGCAAGCCGCTGTGGACGAGGGTGAAAAGAAAAGGTTAGCCCAAGAAAATGAAGCCCTCCGAGCCCAAATCCAGAAAATGAAAATAGCATATGAGAACCCTGCCAGAAGTGGAAAAGAAGAGAAACTTATAAACAGCCTTAGGTAGAAAGTATGTGACTATGGATATGATTTGGAAAAGACTGAAGGTGAACTAGCAAAGGCGTGAGCAAAGTTAGCCAAAAATGCAAAGGAATGAGCAAGTTTCGTTCAACAGTTGAAGGAAAAGTACGACAAAGGAATCATGAGTCTGAAGAAAAAGATCAATACCCTTGAGAGTGAAATGACCAAACAAGCAAAGAACTTCAAAGTAGAAAGAGAACACTGCTATGCCTTGACGTCTCAACTAGAAGAGGACCTTAGCAATTGCAAGAGCAAAATCATACGGCCACACAAGTTTTGGAGGCCATATCTCAACAAATTGGACGCCTGCTACAAGAGAGGGCGTCATTATAGAGAGGATTAGAAGGATTGCTGACTATATTGTGATGAAGTGCAACGAATGCGAGGACATGACCAGGTCCATATTCTTTGCTGCAGTTATGATTTTTGTCCGTCAGATAATGGACGACCTATATCGCCTCCAAGAAGATATGGCACGTAGGCCTGCGGCGAGACCGACTGATGTCCCACGGGCCCCTGGAGCAGTAGTTGAGGCAATTATGTATTTCTGATTTTATTTTTCGAGTTTGTATTTTCAGTTTCTTTTGGAGTCTGTTAGTCCACTTTCGAGTCTGTATTTTCAGTTTCTTTTGGAGCCTGTTAGTCCACTTTCGATTTTGTATTGCGGTTTCTTTTAGAGTCTGTTAGTTTTTATGTTTAAGTCTGTAGGACAGAGTCATTGTAATAGAGGAAGTTTTTATTTTATGAAAATTTGAAAGCCAAAAATATTTCTTTCTTTTATTTCGCACTTATCTCCTGAACTACGTAATGATCTGATTCATGCGACATCATGATACGTAGGCAATCCCATAGGATTCGATCATAACCATAACTTCGAAATGGAAGAGGCACGAGAAATGACGTAACGTGTGGGGAACATGCGCCATAATGACGCATGATGAAATAACGTCATTTCAAACTGACGTAAAGGTCAGATGTGCCTCTTGAAGCGCCACATCATTGCCTCGCCATAAAAGGGTCACTCCTCGGCCAACATGCTCAGATTTCTCAAAACTACAACTGATGAAATCCGCCCATCGAGCTCGTCCAAAGAACACCTCAACGGCGGAGGGGACTAACTGTACGGGTCAAAATCTGATCAAGGGGACCTTGCCTGAAAGAAGGCAATCAAGAATCAATTAGGCCGAGGTTATACTTAAGAAGCAACACTGGCGAGCCGAGTAGCTAAGGTCAAGGTCGAGCACTCAGATCGGCCAAAACGGCTAGTTTAGCAATAAGATATTTTAAGGAATATTCTGCAAAATATTCTCTTCACTAGTACTTTCAGTAGGTAAGGGATATGTCCCATATAAGTAGGAAGAGAGAGAGAGAAAGAGAGGGATATGTAATATTCCATATGATAAGCTCTCTCTAAAAAAGTTGACTCTCAAATAACTACAGACATTATCTTTACACAAGATTTGATTTGTTGTTTGTCCCAAACTTTTCCACATCATATCCGATAAAGTTTTCTATAATCCTACGTTTGGCTACCTTACATCACTGTCAGAGGGAGAATCATCCACCTCATTGAATATTTGGGCGAATCGTTCTCTCTATTTACATTTATTGCCATTTATCATATTCATTGCTTGCCACTATCCCCTCATTCGTTTATAACAATATCATTAAATACGACAATTGATATTTAATAATCTTGAATACGGTTTTTATATTATTGTTATCTACCAATCTTAGATCTAGGACTTATTATATTTAACTAGAATTTACCTGTTATCATTTTATTTAATTAGTTTAACAAAAAGGCTTAACACTTTTTGGTCAAATAATTCCCAGCCTCAGGACCGTGATGGCGTCTAACATCCACTTAATAGGCAAGCCGATGTTAACAAAGTATTTAACCAATTTATAAAAATTAATATAAAGTAATGTCATTTAATGAGAAATAAACTCAAAATTTAACACAATGTGAATAAAAGTAATGTGATGCTAACTACTCCTAGAAATCCTGAGTGACAACATGAGCAACTAGAATTCTACAAGTATAATTTGAAATAAATACAACCTTTCGAATGAGATAAACAAATTGTCTATACTTCTGCACGCAAATTTTGAGGCTGGTGGTAGTGGCATTCGCCCGACGCAGTAGGAGGCTTTATGAAGACTCCGTCGTGAGCTACTTTACTTGACCGATTTGCAGCACATGGAATCACCCTCCCTACTTATCTATTATGTCTATATATTTCCTTCAAACAGACAATGTTGTTCTGTTGACTCTACATACTCTTGTAAGATAGCTTGTGATGATTGTAACATCCGAATTTTGGACTATATAAACAATTGTAGTCGTGTTTAGACCTTGTCCGAGATAGTATATATCTATATTATTAGTTTGAGATTATTTCTATTTCTTATAATATTGTAGATTTTTTCTAAATATTTGGTTAATCTGCTTTGGAACTTGATTGTTATTATGATGGCTTGCCTACGAGCGGGTTAGGTGCCGTTACGACTGTTAGTGGGATTTTAAGTTGTGACAAAAATCTAAAGTTTTAAGCACCTTAAAACCGATTTCACCAGAAAATCCCAGAAAAAATCGTGAAAATATGGAAACAAGACAAGCCAACATGAGTGTCCAAGGGGATTCTTACTGTTTATGATGTGTGAACTTTATCGAATCAGTAAAACATATTTTAGATGTAGTTTTGGGAATACATCAGTGTAATATCTTAAATGTTGGCACAAGTATTTCGAAAATGGACAGACCTGCTTCTCAATTGGGATCAATGAGGCAAAATAATATTTGAAATTACAAATAGAGAGGAATGTCCATTAATGTTGCAATTGTTGGAAATTATTAGAAAAAATATTAGAGATAGTAACATTAAAAAGAATATTTAATCAACCCAAGACGCATTAGTTAACTATAAAAGAAGAGATTTGAGTTTTGGATAGGAAAAATTGGTTCGAGGCATGCTATGGAATGTGTTGTCTCATGGTAGATTTATGTCAAGTGTAAATAGCAAAATAAGCTCCTAATCCCAAAATACATCAAATCACTCATGAAGCTTTGTGCACATAGAAGTGCAGAACTCTTAAATATATTAATTGCTTTTGTTTGAAGGCCTTTGTTTGAATTTAGGATGAATGAAGAAAAGAGACTCTTGAAAAGATAGTGACAATATGAAGAGTGAAAAATAGGCATATCTTGAAAGGTCGGATCACATGTTTTCAAAATGAATAGATAGATATAGCCCCTTTGAAGAAAAGGTAGTGTCTTTTCAACAACCAAATTTTAAATCATCCAAAATAAATTTAAATTCCCCAACAATAATTAGTTATCTGAAATTATAATATGCTAACTTCTTAATATTTGGATATGAGTTAACAAGTAGGTGGTGCATCAGTGCAGTTACCAGGACCACCAAATAAGAAATTATAATCCCAGTAACCATCTCGGGCATTATTTTCATTCCCTTCACAGTAACACCTATCCCTATGAGTTTGAACCAACGATTCATCTGGCTGAACTTCTTGATCAATGTCCACACCATACATGATTTGGCGCATGCGACAAGTGAGGCGCTTATAGCCGGCCCAAAATTGGCCATTTCCCATTGGTGGGCTCACTGTTTCACCAGCTGGTGTATGCGCCTGCCCTCCATATCTCACTGTCTCCGACCCATTTCTCAAAGCCTTGAATATGTCGTCCGGCCATAATCCAATAACAAATACAGAGAACAGCTGAAGATAATACTCTGTAGTACACATAAAAACATTGTAATATTCTCTCTGTGTTTTCCAATTATAATATATTAGCGCGACTCTAAATCAGAGTTATCTTGTGTGTATCTGTGGCGTAGCCACATCATATTATATCTATAAAAATTTATATTATGTATATAAGTTAAAAAGTATTTTTTTTATATATGTCTATTAAATCTTGAACAATAGTAGCGAAATTCCTTATTTCGCCGCTAGTATTCAGGGGCGGATCTAGCAAAATAACTACGGGTTACCGTGAACCTAGTAGCTTTTGTATTGAAAGATTTATTAAATGCATAAGAATATTTAGCTTGTAACTCAGTCCGTTAGTCCAATTATTATTGTATATTAACTTGAGATTTCTTTAGGAACCATACACTTAAAATTTTGAATCCGCCTCAACGAGTATATGTATTCTCATGTAAAAAGTCGATACTAATGAGAATACAATAAACCAAACCAAAAGGAAAAAAAAATATATGAAACGCCTTTTATTCAGTTTCAAAACTTTTGAGACCTCACGTTTTCAGGGTTAATAATGAAACTATTTTAGTGATGAAGTTTAACACGGATAGATCATCCTTGATTCAAACATTAAAAAAAAAAATGCTACATGAGAACTATTGCACTTGAAAAATCATTTACGTTTTGATATTTGTGATTTTTTAACAATTATAGCACACACTCTAGCTAGCGCAAATTGAAACAATTAACAGTAATTAAATCAATAAAGTATAAAAGGAATTTTGATTAATAAACATGGCATGACAAATAAATTACCTTGATCCTTGTAGATCTGAATCTGCAGTTCTTGGCTGTCATACTGTGGCAAGGAGACTTTTGGGAAAGCATAATCTACTGGTATTTCACTGCTAAGCTGAACGAATCCTGGACAAATACTGTTGTAACATCCTGTTTTCTGGTGGCCATCTGCCTATTTCGAACAATTATATATTTTCATAAAGAGCTTTGCAACATATATATATATATA